TGTTCGCGCTTCCATACTGCTCGCTGCTTGGGGAGAAAGGATTTTCAGAGCACAAGCCCCTTTCTCCATCCTCTGGCCAGTGAATAAAATACCCGATTGCTCTCCCAAAGTACACCTGCTTTCTTTGCGACCAATACAATGCAGGGAACGAACAGGGTTTACCAGTGACAGACTTGCACCCTGGCTCCCCAGCCAGCCCCTGCGACCCGGCCCCCTCCCCAAGTGACATCCCAACAAGTCAGAACTTGTTGGTGGCCTTTCCTCTTCAGGGGGGAAAGTCCAAAGGTCCCACTAAGCTGCCAGCTTCCCGAGCAAAGCGCCCTTGTGTTCCTGGCTCTGGGTCTCCTCTGCCAGCACGATGCCCTGTATGTCTGGGGCCTCAGACGCGTCAGGGGCTGGTTACGCAGGCCGGCTGCGGTGGCCAGGGCCTTGCTGAGTCTCACTCTGCCCGGCCCATCTCCCCACCTCCCTGCAGGCGGACATGTGCAGCCTGTTTGTTTGCCGGAATCCTCTCCCCTTCTTTAGGTATGCAAAAACAAATCTTTCAACATCGAAGCTGTTGGAACTTCATAATATTCTGGCCGGGTGTGGCTCATGCCTGGAATCCCAGCGCTTTGGCGGGAGGAGGTGGGAGGATAGCTCGAGGCCAGGAGTTTGAGACCAGCCTGGGCGACACAGTGAGACCCTCCATCTCAATTACAACCACAACAAAAACAACAACAAAAAATATATATACACATGATAAAATATCTTGAGTCTTTTAAATGAGACAGGCAGCTATAACCTGAGCAGCTGTAACTTTTGTTTCTTTGATGACACCTTAGCCTTTTCCCTTCCCCACTGTTTTGCCAAACACTGCTTAGCAAACTGTTATAAGTGACCAGAGAATCCCTCTTCCCTGTCGTTCTCCATTATAGTTTAACTTCCCTTCTTCCTCTCTCACTAAAAGACTTCATGGCTATCCTGTTGTCTAATGTGGAATGTTAAATCCACTCTTTTATTTTTTATTTTATTTTATTTTATTTTGAGTTGGCGTCTCACTCGGTCGCCCAGACTGGAGTGCAGTGGCCGCTCCCGGCCACTGCAGCCTCGACCTGCTGGGTTCCGCGATCCCTCCGCCTCAGCCTTCCGAATTACAGGCATGCGCTACCACGCCTGGCTGATTTTTTGATTGATTGTAGAGATGAGGTCTCGCCAAGTTGCCCAGGCGGGTCTCGAACCTGCAGGCTCAGGCGATCCACTCACCTCAGCCTCCCAAAGGTGCGGGATTACAGGCTGAGCCACCGAGCCCGGCTTAAATTCAGTCTTTTAAACGGGAAAGAAAATGAAAAAGAAAGCGCCGGCCTGGAGAAGGGAACGAAGTGTGACAAGCTGAACTGCGACAATTCGTAAATTCACACGCAGCCTTGTCTAAAGTGGCGAAGCTGCTGGTTTCCTTGTTTTACGCCTCTACAAGCAAGACCTTCGCCTTCGGCTTGGGAGCCCGGCCTCCTTTCTCCGGAGTCTGCGTGTCCCAAACGGCCATTCCCAGCTTTTGGCTCTGGTAAACTCTTTGAAACTGGATTTTGATCCTTTTGCTTATGTCCGGTTGACAGGGATCAGGTCTCCGAGTTTCCCCTGGGAGCTGCCACCCAGCTTAGGTGGTGCCTGCAGCCCTGTGAGCGCTAGGCACGGGGGGTGGCTGGGCCCGGCCAGTTGGGGCTTTGCCTTCCCTGGGTCAGCCTGGCTGACTCAGGGGTGGTCACGCTTCCCACCCAGAGGCAGAATGGGGCCTTTGTCAGGACTGCTGGGGGGGGGTATCCTTTCCCTGTAGACTTTGAACCTGAGAGAGGCGAGGGAAAACCTACCTACCAATAAAGCCAACACAGAGGAAGCAGATTCAAGGGATGGAAGAAAAGAAAGTGGGTGCTGCAGACGTTAGTTAGCCCTCGATTAAGCCGTCCTTGAAGGGGGCCTTCAGTCATGAGATCCAGTAAGTTCCCTCTTGTCCTAAGTCACTTTGCAACAAAGAGGGACAGATTGGGAGGTATTCCTCCTCCCAGTGCTGCAGACACACGAGTACCTGGTCCCCTTCCCCCACTGCCATTACTCCTGTACCAGGGCCAGTGTGATCCAGGCCCCAGGCAAGGGACCACCTCTCCTCTGCATGGGGACGCACTCAAGTGGATGGCAAAATTCTCACTGGAGAAATGTAGACATCACGGCTCGAAAGCACACGGCCAGGGGTACCCACTCCGTGTTCTGGCAAGGGCTCCCTCCCTGTCCACGCACACATCCTGTAACCTTGAACCGCCATCACAAACACGCCTTTATAACATCAATCACAGGCCACACGGTTAGAATGGTGGTGGGGGCCTGGATTCTGTCGTGTCCTGATTTGGGGGCAATGGCGCGGCCCAAAGGGTTGACGGGTCTATTTCCTCTTAAAGAACAGCAAGCGCTTCTGGCGTGCCCGCCCCCTTGATGGCATCCACAAGTCTGAAGAGCGCCAGCAGACTCACTCACCCTCCCACACACTTTCCATGGTTAAACAACCATCGTTCATGGGGCTTGCAGCTTCCCCAGATGCTCTGGTACATAACATAAGCCTAAGGCTTGTCTCTGAGATATTTTCCAGACGTTGTCTTCTGGTGGACACACGGACCCCCCTAAACAAATGACCCAAACGGAGGGACTCACTCAGCTGGACTGCAGCCCCTCACCGCCAGAAACCGGCTCTGCACACAAAGACGGTTTCGACACCTCCACGACTTTATCTCCCAACCAATTGGCCATGCCTGTTCCCCAGCTCCCTGCCCAGGTGATCATTCCTTAAAAAACCCTAGCCCAGCGTGCCTGTAGTCCCAGCTATTTGGAAGGCTGAGGCAGAAGGATCGTCAGAGCCCAGCGGGTCAACGCTGGGGTGGCTGTGAGCACGCCACTGCACTCCAGCCTGAGTGATGGAGTGAGACTCTGTCACAAACCAACACCCACACAAACAAACCCTAGCCTGAAATTCTCAGGGAGGTGGATTTGAGATCTATCTCCTGCTCCCTTTACTTGGCTACTTTGCAATCATTAAAATCTTTTTTTTTTTTTTTTGAGCTGGAGTCTCACTCTGTCACCCAGGCTGGAGTGCAGTGACATGCTTCTGACTACCGCAGCCTCGACCTGCTGGGCTCCGGCGAGCCTTCCGCCTCAGCCTTCCAAGGAGCTGGAACTACAGGCGCGTGCTACCACGCTCGGCTAGTTTTTTTTATTTATTGTAGAGACGAGGTCTCGCCAAGTTGCCCGGGCGGGTCTCAAACCCGCGGGCTCAGGCGATCCCCTCACCTCAGCCTCCCAAAGGCGCGGGATTACAGGCTGAGCCACCGAGCCCGGCCATTAAACTCCTTCTGTGCAGCCACACTGCTGACGTGGGACATTGATGCTGTGTGGTGGGTTTAAAAACCCCCACCTCAAAGCCTTTTCTCACAGGCTTGCCTTGGCCTGAAATGCCTTTTCAGCCCTTCCCTTCTGGGGAGCCTGCCGGGGTCCCAGGGTGCTGCTGTGGGTACACCCCTCCTGCGTCCTCCCCTGCTGCAGACTGACCCCTGCCTGGGTGGGCAGGTCCAGCAGGCTCTGGCGGCTGGCCCCAGGGCACACCGGCACCTCACACCCCCCAGCCTTGGGGCATGGAGGGGGCAGGGTGGCCCCCGCCCTTCAGAGCCTCCAGACACTCTGCTCCCAGCAGAAGTTATTAAAAGGCAACGACAAGCCGGGCTCGGTGACTCGGCCTGTAATCCCGCGCTTTGGGAGGCCGAGGTGAGTGGATGGCCTTAGCCCGCGGGTTCGAGACCCACCTGGGCAACTTGGCGAGACCTCATCTCTACAATGAATCAAAATTAGCCAGGCGTGGTAGCGCGTGCCTATAGTTCCAGCTACTCGGAAGGCTGAGGCGGAAGGATCACTAGAGCCCAGCAGATGAGGCTGCAGTGGCCAGGAGCGGCCACTGCACTCCAGTCTGGG